TTAGTACACATACTGTTTTGTGACATTGGTTATCAACCCCATGACATGTCAACACTTTCCCCTTCTTGACCTTGGGTTCCCTATTACCAGCTTTCCTGTCCCATCCTGCCTTCTAGTCCTTGCCCCTGGGCTGCTGTGCCCCTTTAGTCTCGTTTTATTTTATGGACCTGTCTAATCTTTGGCTGAAGGGTGAACTTCAGGAGTGACTTCATTACTGAGCTAAAAGGGTGTCAGGGGGCCATACTCTCGGGGTTTCTCCAGTCTCTGTCAGACCAGTAAGTCTGATCTTTTTTTGTGCATTAGAGTTTTGTTCTACATTTTCCTCCAAGTCTGTCTGGGACCCTCTATTGTGATCCCTGGCAGAGCAGTCAGTGGTGGTAGCCGGGCACCATCTAGTTGTGCTGGACTCAGTATGGGCCACTCACAAGCTTTTAAAACCCCAGATGCTACTCGTCAAAGCAGGATGTAGAACATTTTCTTTATAAACTATGTTATACCAATAGAGGTAGATGTCCCCCAAGACCCTAGTCCCTAGCCCTCAGCCCAGCAATTCAGTCCCTCAGCCCAGTAATTCGGTCCTTCAGGGAGTTTGGATGTGTCTATGAAACTTCCATGACCTTGCCTTGGTCAAGTTGTGCTGACTTTTCCAGTATTATGTACTGTCTTACCCTTCACCAAAGTTACCACTTATCTATTGTCTAGTTAGTGTTTTTCCCTCACTACCTCGTCCCTCCCCTCCCTCCCTTGTAACTATCAAAGATTGTTTCTTCTGTGTGTAAACCTTTTCATGAGTTTTTATAATAGTGGCCTCATACAGTATTTGTCCTTTTGTGATTGACTTATTTCACTCAGCATACTGCCCTGCAGATTCAGCCATGTTGTGAGATGTTTTGCAGATTCATCATTGTTCTTTATCATTTCATAGTATTCCTTTGGAAACCCTGGTGGCATAGTGGTTAAGTGCTATGGCTGCTAACCCAAAGGTCGACAGTTCGAATCCACCAGGCACTCCTTGGAAACCCAATGGGGCAGTTCTACTCTATCCTATAGGGTCTCTATGAGCCGGAATCAACTCAATGGCAACGGGTTTGGTTTTTGGTTTTAATATTCCATTGTGTCTATGTACCATAGTTTGTTTATCCGTTCATCTGTTGCTGGGCACTTAGGTTGTTTCCATCTTTTTGCTATTGTGAACAATGCTGCAGTGAACCTGGGTGTGCATATGTCTATTCGTGTGATGGCTCTTGTTTCTCTAGGATATATTCCTAAGAGTGGGCTTGCTGGATCGTATGGTATTTCTATTTCTAGCTTTTTAAGGAAGTACCAGATCGTTTTCCAAAATGGTTCTACCATTTTGCATTCCCACCAGCAGTGCATGAGAGTTCCAGTCTCCCTGCACCTCTCCAACATTTGTTATTTTCTGTTTTTCTGATTTGTGCCAGTAATGTTAGGGTGAGATGGTATCTCCTTGTAGTTTTAATTTGCATTTCTCTAATGGCTAGTGATGGCGAGCATTTCCTCATGTGTCTGTTAGTCAGCAATTGTGGTATAATGGAAAGACCATGAGACTTGGAACAGAAGATTCATGTCTCTATGAACTTTCGGCAGGTCACTTAGTGGAGATGATAAGAATAGTAATAATTTCTTTGAAGGGTTGTTGTGAAGATTAAATACGATAATGCAAAAGGAAGTTCTTTGCAGAAGTGAAAACACCACATAGATGGTTGTTCTTATTAGAGGTGGAGGTGCTGTCATTCTAGGCCATGAGAACACATGTGTGCCAAGGCAGGAAAGTAGGAGATCAGAATTTGCGTCCAGGGAACATTTTAGTAGCCCACTTTGGCCAGACTGGGGATGGTAGCTGAAAATAGAGGTTGGGATCAGATTGACAAGGGCTTTGAATGCCAGGCCAAGCAGTAAGTGAAAAACCAGAGAGGAACGTAATTGGAACATGGCTTTGGTACATTGTCTGGAAGTGTGTGTAGATGGATTAGAGAGACTGGAGGTAAGGAGCACATTTAGGAGAATGCTGCAGTACCCAGGCATAAAGGGGAGGACAAGAACTTGAATTAGGGTGGTGACAGGGGGATAGAAAGGAGGGGCTGGGTAGAAGAGATGATATGAAGGAAATCACTATTTTCTTTGTAAATATGGGATAAGGGAGGAAGAATTTTTTAAGTTGAAATTTAATTTATTTTGATTCTTTTTGTTTTATACTAACAGATAATTCATACTTTTCTTCCAATTAAAAAAAAATTTTAATTTATATTGTTGTTGAGACTATACACAGCAAAATATGCACCAATTAAACGATTTCTACAAGTACAATTCAGTGACATTGATTACATTCTTCGAGTGGTGCAACCATTCTCACCCTCCTTCTCTGCAGTGTTCTTTCCCTATTAACATAAACTCATTGCTCGCTAAAGTTCCTGTCTAAGTTTTTGAGTTGCTATTGTCAGTTTGATCCCATATAGATAGTTCTTAAAAGAGCATAATACTCAAGGCAGACATTTTATACTAGTTAAGCTAAACTGCTGTTTGGTTTTAAGAAGACTTCAGGGGATATCTTTGGTTTAAGGTTTAAAGATTATCTCAGGGCAGTAGTTTCAGGGGTTCATCCAGCATTCATGGAATTTGAAATTCTGTTTTGCATATTCCCCCTTTTGAACAGGATTCCTCTATAGAATCCTTGATTAAAATGTTCAGTAATGGTAGCAGGGTGCCTTCCAGTTCTTCTGGTCTCATGGCAAGGGTGGCAGTTGTTTCATGGAGGCAATTAGCCACACATTCAATTTCCTCCTACTATTCCTGACTCTCCTTCTTCTTCTGTTGCTCCAGGTGAATAGGGACCAATTGTCATGCCTTGGATGGCTGGCTTGCAGACTTTTTTAAGACGCCAGGCACTAGGAGGTTGAACAGCACTAGGAGGTAGAATGGAACCATTATTAGGCCAATTAACTGGCATGTCCCATGAAAACATGACCCTAAACCTCCAAACCAAGGAACCAAATCCCATGAGGTGTTTGGTTGTACATAAGCAGCCTCACCATCTACACTTTTTTTGTCACTGTAAATATGTGTATCACATAACTTTTGCCAATTCAACTTTTTACAGGTGTATAACATATTGACACCACTTCCAATAATCGGCTGCGCAACCCTACCATTAATCAACGTGATTTTCCATTACCATAAACGGAAACTCAGTACTTCATATGCAATAACCCCCTCTCCCCTTCCCTCCTGCCCCTGGTAAACACTAATAAACTTTGGTCTCTCTACATTTGCCTTTTCTTATCATTTTATGTAGGTGAGGTCGTGCAATATTTGTCTTTTTGTGATTGACTTATTTCATTTAGCATAATGTCTTCCAGCTCCATCCATATTGAAGTGTCTATCAAGACTTCATTTCTCCTACTGGCTAAGTACTATTCCATTGTATGTATGTACCACATTTTGTTTATCCATTCATCTGTTGATGGGCATTTAAGTTGTTTCAACCTTTTGGCTATTGTGAATAATGCTGCAATAACATTGGTGTACCTGTCTCTTTCTGAGTCTCTGCTTTCAAGTCTTTTGGGTAATACCTAGGAGTGAAGTTGCTGGATCATATGGTAGTTCTATTTTCAGTTTTTTGAGGAACTGCCACATTGTTTTCCACAATGGCTGTACCATTTTGCATTCCCACCAGCAATGCATAAGGATTCTGATTTCCCCACATCCTCACAAACATTTGTTATTTTCTGTTTTTTTTTTTTAATCTTAACTATCCTTATGGGAGTGAAATGGTGTCTCTTTTTGGTTTTTATTTGCATCTCTTTGATGACTAATGATATTGAGCATCTTTTCATGTGTTTGGTGGCCATTTGAATGTCCTCTTTGGCGAAATGTCGATTCAAGTTCTTTGCTTATTTTATGCTTGAGTTATATGTCCTTTTGTTGTTAAGTTGTAGAAGTTTTGTATATGTTTTGGT